GAGCAATGGATGCAGCTAATATTTTAAAACCAATGTTATCAAGAGGAGAATTACGATGTATTGGAGCAACAACATTAGAAGAATATAGAAAATATGTAGAAAAAGATCCAGCATTTGAAAGACGATTCCAACAAGTTTATGTAAATGAGCCAAGTGAAGAAGATACATTATATATTCTTCGAGGAATACGAGAGAAATATGAAAATCATTATGGATTAACAATTACCGATTCAGCATTAGTTTCAGCAGCAACATTAAGTAAAAGATATATTAATGGAAGATTTCTTCCAGATAAAGCAATTGATTTAGTTGATGAAGCATGTGCTACATTATTTACACAAAAGAATTCACAACCAGAAGAAATAGATAAATTAGAAAGAAGAGAAACACAATTAAATGTAGAGAAAATAGCATTAGAAAGAGACATTAAAGAAAGTGATGAAGACCATAATAAAATGATTAAAGAAAGACTACAAGAAATTGAAAAAGAATTAAGTGAAAATAAAGAGAAATTAACAAAATTACGAATTAACTATGAAAAAGAAAAAGGAGGAAGTGAAGAAATGAAAGAACTTGCAACGAAAATAGAAGCTATGAAACATAAAGCAGAAAGTACTAAAGATTTAGAAGTAGCAGCTGATTTAAAATATTATGCAATACCAGAAGCAGAAAAAAGAATGAAAGAATTAAAGGAACAAAATAAAGAAACAACAATGATATCATTACAAGTTACACCAACACAAATAGAAGAAGTAGTTAGTAGATGGACAGGAATTCCTGTTACTAAAATGAATCAAACAGAGAAAACAAGACTGATGAATTTAGAAGAAGAACTACATAAACGAGTAATAGGACAAAATGAAGCAGTAACAGCAGTTAGTGATGCAATTATTCGAAGTAGAGGAGGATTAGGAAATGAAAAACGACCAACAGGTAGTTTTATGTTTTTAGGACCAAGTGGAGTAGGAAAAACAGAATTAGCAAAAGCATTAGCAGTTGAATTATTTGATGACGAACAAAATATAGTTAGAATAGATATGAGTGAATATATGGAAAGTCATAGTGTATCAAGATTAATAGGAGCACCACCAGGGTATGTAGGATATGAAGAAGGAGGACAATTAACAGAGGCAATTCGTAGAAAACCATATAGTGTAATATTATTTGATGAAATTGAAAAAGCACATCCACAAGTATTTAATGTATTATTACAATTATTAGATGAAGGAAGATTAACAGATGGAAGAGGAAGAACAGTTGATTTTAAGAATACTATTGTTATTATGACATCAAATTTAGGAAGTGAAATAATAATGAAAGGAGTAGAAACAGAAGGACAAGTTAGTAAAAAAGTTAAAGAAACAGTAATGGAAATAGTAAAGAAAACATTTAAACCAGAGTTTCTTAATAGATTAGATGATATTATAGTATTCTCACCACTTTCAGAGAAAGAATTAAAAGAAATAGTTAAATTACAAATGGGAGAAGTGATTAAAATGATTAAAAAGAGATATCCATTAAGTGAAGTAGAAATGACAGAAGCAGCAATAGAAGGAATCATTAAATCCGGATATTCAATAGCATATGGAGCAAGACCAATGCGACGATATATAGAAAAGACAGTAGTAACTTCAATAACAAAATCAATAATAAGTGGAATGATGAAAGAGAAGAATAAAATTCAAATAGATTATGAAAATGATAAGATTCAAGTCAAAATAACAGATAAATAAATGATAATAATAATTGAATATTTGATAAACAAATAAATTATTTGAAAGATAAATTAAAGAATAATATAAAACTAATTTTTTTTAAATAAATATTTTTTTATTTTTATTTTTAATAATAAATTATTTTTTTAAATATTGATGTAATATTTTTATATATTAACATTCTAACATTAATATTTGAATTAAATATTATTTTTCTTATTTTTTTTTCTTGTCCATTCTTTTACTTTCTTCTATTTATTATTTTACTGTATATTCTTTTCAATTCTTTTACTTTCTCAATTTACGCTAATACTTCTGTTTATCATTTCTATTTATCCTTCTTTTATTTTATTCAATTATTTTCTTATTTCTTTTGTTTTTCATCATTTATCATTATCCCCTGATATTATTTCTTTATTTTATACCTAATTTTATTCTTTTAATGTTAAACATTTTTTATTTTATCTAATCATTATCTTTCTTTATTTTATTTCTAACTATTTTATTTCTTCTTATAATTTCTTCTTTTTTTTCAATTATAAATATATCTTCTATAATTTTATTTGGACTATCAGTTATTCTTCTTTAACTTTTCCATTTTGTTAGTATATTCTAATACCTTTCATGATTCTTTCTTTAATTTTATTCTTTATTTTAAACTTTTTCTTATTAATATTTTTTTTTAAATATAATTTATATTTTTCTTCTTTTTCCTATCTCTTTATTTTTCTGTTTTATCATTTACTCTTGTTATTTCTTATTTATTTCTCTATTATTTTATTTTTTTCTTTTATTTGTTTATTCTTTGTTGATTTTTATATTTCTTATTCTGAGTTCTTCCTTTTTTTTTCAAATAGAATATTAATTCTAGATGTTAATAAATATAATATCAAAGAAATAATAAGATATTATTAAATTTAATAAATTCTATAAGAAGAAATTGATGAATATAATTTTAAATAAATAATTACAAAAATGAAATAGTTAATAATTAAAATAAACATAAAATAATTAATTTTTATATCAATCATAGACAATATGAGTATTTAATGTAATAAATATTGGTTAATCAATAAATTAAATAAAATTATTCTAAATAAATTAAATATTAACAAAAATAAATTGATTAATAAATAAAATTTATTTTATTTAATAAATAATTCTCCTTTTATCTAATTTTTATTTAAAAATATAGAAAATAAATCTATTAACATTTAACTATCTACTTTTTATCTTATTTTTATTTAAATATATTTATTTTTTTTTTAAAAATATATTATCCTTTTTAAACCCCTTTTATCCATTCTATTTCTCTACTTTCTTATTCTTTCTTTTTTCTCTTATAATTTCTCTATTCTTTTATTATATTCAATTATTGGTTATATTCTATTTCTGATATTTCTATTTTTTTTCTATACTATCTTCTTATTTATGTTTTTCTTATAATTATTATTACTATTATTTTCTTTTATTCTCTTTTTTGTTGATTAGTTATGATTTTCATTCTCATTACAACTTTTTCTTATTATCCTTTTTCTTTGTTTTTATTTCCTTCTTTTTCTTATTATTGTTTTTCTTTATGAATAATATTATTATTTCTCAATTTTATTAATATACTTCTTTACTTCTTTTTTATTTTTCTGATATTTCTGTACATATTTATAATTTGTGTCTTAACATTTATTAATTTTTTATGGTCTTCATCATTTGTGTCTTTAGAGTTCATTTAATAAGTACAATAATAATGAATCATTTTCATCATAAATATTTCAAAATCAATTTAAATAGAACCAAAATATTATCACAATACAAATAATATTATAATAAAACACAAAGGATATATAATGAATATCAAAATAAATATTATAATAATTATGAAATAAATGATATGATAGAAATAATAAAATATAATCAAAATAAATAAAGAAGAAAGTGATTTATAAGAAGATTAATATTAATAAATATAATCAAATTAAATTCAAATATATTGTTTACATTATATTTGAATTTCTAATATAAATTACAAATAAAATTAAAATAAATAACATTATATAGAAATAATCAATATAATAATCAATAAATTAATATAAAAAAATCAACAAGAAAATTAGATTTATTAATTATAATATTTCAATATAATATTATAATCATTTATTATTATAAATATGAAATATTTAATATTTTATAAATTCATTTCTGATAATATATTATAATATAAATATTCAAATTCTCATATATTAAAAATAATCTCTATAATAAAATAGAGATTATTAAATTCAATAAATTAATCATTTCTTAGTATTCAAATTATCAAATTATTGATATATCTATTGTTATTTTTAAGTATTGATATTTTAATATTCTTTTAATTATTTAATTTATCTTTGTTTATTATTTTCTATTTATTTTCTATTTTATTTCTTATTTCTTTCTTGTATATATTTTATTATCTTTTATCATTTTCATTTATTATTATTTCTTTTTATATATTCTTTTATTCACACTTTCTATTTTTTATGAAATGAATATAATGAAAATAAATTATTATTAGATAATTCCACGTATTTATCATTTAATTTGTTGTATTGTAATAGAATTTCTAATATGTAAACTTATTTAAATTAAAAAAAGAAGTGAGAGTGTTGAATCTTGTTTAATAATAGATGATTGAATATGTTTATTTATCAGATATTGATTGATAAAAAAAAAGAATGTTATTTATTTTAAAAATAGTATTTTTGTCAAAAATAATGAAATATTTATAAAATAAGAATGCCTCTAAATGTTATTTTCAAAAAATAAAAAACATTTAATTAATTATTGATTGAACTATTCATAATCAAAGAATTGATTTGATTATTTGTTTAGAAAGAGAAAAAGGATAAATAGATAAATAGTTTTATAATGATTCATTTCTTGAATTCATTTCATCTTTTATCCATTCACTCTTTGTTTATCTATTCCTTCTTTGCTTCTTATTTTACACTCTCTGATTTAATTGAAATAAATATAAATACCCCCAATGAAGAATGAAATTTGGATAAGTGAATAAAAATATAATAAAACTAATCATCATTAATTATAAAGAAGAGTTAACACACAATTAGAATAATAAATAATGAAAACACTCGTTTGAATTACACACAATTAATTAATTAATTTCCAATGAATTAGAAATATAAACCAAATCAAAAAAAATTAAACAAGAAATACTGTAAGAAAGATTATAAAATTATGAAAATTTTAAATAATATTTAAAGAGAAATAACTTAATAAATAATTCAAATGAATATATTGTATATTACATTATTGATTCTATTTGCAAATTCAAAATCATTACTTGGAATAGAAACAAAAGATGTTAATGGAAATCCAGTAGCATTTGTTCATGTTGATTTTAATAAATGTTATTATCAAAGTGAAAATAAATATGTACAATATACAAATGAAAATAATATAATTTATTTTAAGTCATATTCTGATATGAATTGTTCTAATGTTATTGATGAACAAACATATGGTATTAATGATGATAAATTAAAACATCTTATTTGTAATGGTTTTGAAATTAAATGTTCAGTAAAAATTACTGAACCACCAAAATATATTGGAAGTATGACTTTTGGAGGTGAAGATGATAAAGAATGTTCACACAGTGATGATATGATTAAATATTATATAACAAATATACCTTTTAAATCATCTGAGAATGCAGAAGGATATTGTCAATATAAAGAAACAAATGGAGAGATGTATTTAGATATTTATCCAAATATAAAATGTATTGAAAGTGAAAAAATTTCACACATTAAAGAATGGACATGTGATACTTGTACAAAAAATATAAAATATGAATGTAAAGAAATTGATTCAAATAGTGATTCTAAAGAAAACTCTTCACTTAGTGATGATTCATCTATGAGTTATTCTGAAACTATTTCAATTTTGACTATTATCTTTATTCTCACTTTCTTCTTTTAACTAATTTAATCTTTTTAGTTTTATTTTTATTATTTTTTTTGTTAATAAAAATTAAATCATTTATTAATTTTTTATCTTATTATGTTTATTCTATGTATTGTTTATATTTCTTTCTTTTATTTTATTTCTTTGCAACTCTTATTTAAATAAAAATAATAATTACATGAAATAAAAGAGATTTAAGAAGAATAATCAATATTATAGATGAAATAACAAATACCAAAAAAGATTTCATACAAATGAGATGGTTCATAGATATGATCTTTTGAAAATAAGTATGGTATAATGATAGGAACAATAAATATTATCATCAAAACTACAATTATCATAATAGAAGATACAAACAATATCATTACAAGAACAATAACAATCAAAACAGAAAATACAGAGAGATATTATAAGAAAGAGAAAAGAAGAACAAAAGAAAGAGAAAACAAAATAATAATAAAAGAAAGGATGAAAATAATTGAAGACATTGAAAAGTTAGTTACAACAATAAAAAAGAAAATAAAAATTAAAGATGAAGAGAAAGAAATATTAATGGAAAATGAAGAAAAGAGAGAAGAAATAATATAAGAAGAAGTTGAAGAAACAGATGAAGAAGAAATAAAAGAAAATATTAAAAAAGAACCTCCATAAGAAAAAGTTATAAGATAAAATAAAAGAAATAGAAAATTAAGAAAAGAAGATGATGATAAAAGAAAAGATAAAAGAAAGAAAACAAGAAGAAAGATAAAGAAATAATAAGAATAAGAAATATATAAGATGGAAATATACGAAAAAGAAAAAAATATAAGGACACTAAAATAAAACCAAGAGAAAGAAAAGAAAAAGAAATAAAAAGAAATAAAAGAAAATCAAGAATAGGATATAACTAGAAGAAGAAAACAATAAAATAAAAGATAAGAAAGAGAAATTGAAAAGAGAGAAAAATAAATAAAGAAAGTAGAAAAGTACAGAAATAGAAAAACAAAAGAAAATAATAGAAATAAAGAATAATAAACAAATGATAAAAGAATTAGAAGAACAAGAAACAATTACAAGAAGAAATAGACAAAAATATAGAAAATATTAAAATAATGAAAGAAGAAAAACACAGAAATTAATAGAAGAGAGAGAAAAAAATAGATATAGAAGAAATACTTAGAAAAGAAGAAGAAGATGATGAAAATTTTTTTAAAGAAAAGAAGAAAAAGAAGAGAGGAAGAAGGAGACAGAACAAGGAACAATAAAAAGACAGTCATCGTCGTGAACCAAAATAAGCAAAGAAATAATGAATCTAAATAAAAAATACGCAAAAAGAAAAAGGGATAAAATATTTTGAATAAATAAAATAATTTAATTTTTATTATTTTGCTCCTAAAAAATTAAAAATTAAAAATTAAATTAAATAATCATTCTATATTCATTTATATTTGTTTATATTTTATATCATTTTATGATCAATTGTTCTGAATTATAAATGATTCAGAAATGATATTTGATTCAATGTAAATACACATTATTTTATTATTATGTTATTATTATGTTATTTATGTATTTTATTATTATATTTATTTTTATTTTTATATTATATATATCATCATTTTATCTATATATTTTATATTTATCATATTTTATTAGTTTGATATTCTTATTATTTATATTTTATTTTATATATGAATACATTTTTATTTATATATATTTTCTTATATATTAATATATTTCTTTATCTTATTTTTATTTTGATTATATTTTTATATTTTATATCAATTTTCTCTTTATATTTATTATTATTATTATTTTATTTATATTACATTGATTTTATTTATATATTTTATTTATTATTATATCATTTCTTTTCTCTTATTATTTCTTTATTATTTATTATTATTTATTTATTTTTTATATCTTCTATCTATATCATATGAATTTATTATTTCTTATTTCTTATTTATTACATATTATATATTAATCATATAACATTTATATTTGATTATATATTATTTTTCTTCTTTTCTCTTCTTTTTTATATTATTTAATTTTTTGTTGAATACATTTGTTTTTGTATTTTTGTTATTTATTTTATTTCTTATTTTTTGTGTTTATTTTATTCTTATTTATCATATTTATCATTTATATATTTTATATTTGATTTTATTAATTATATCATTTAGTATTTTATTAATATAAATATTATGTTTATTATTTTATTATTTATTTATTTTTATTATTTATTTTATCTTTTCTTATTATTCTTTTATTATTTTATGTTTATTATATTTTATTTTTTTATTTCTTTTTCTATCTATTTTTTATTATTTTTATTTATTATATATATTTCTTTTATTCTTATTCTGTTATTATTTATATTTTTATTTATTTTATTTATTCGATTGTTTAATAAAAAATATATTCAATTTTATTATTTGTTTATTATTATTATTTATTTTTATTTATATATTAATTTGATTATTATATTTGTATTATATCATTTTTATATTTATTATTATTTATATTTTGTATTATTATTTATTTATTATTATCATTTTTATTTATCATTTTGTATTATATTATTCAATATTTCATGAATTTAATATTTATTATGAA